GCAAATCCACCAACTGTGTCAATGGACATAATTTGGAATGGTTCTGTCGCGGGTCCTAGTTTTGACATTAATCCGATGATTCTATTTCTTCTAGTTTTGTTCTCTAAGCATATAGTGCAACTTTTACAAAATTCTTCAATTAGTTGATCAAAGTTTTTGAAATAATAAAATGGTCTTATTTTCTCTTTCAATGTTCCAGCTCCAATATGTCCATAATATTCATGTACCTTTTTTATTATTCTTAAACCAAATTTATCAGAAACAAATATCCTTGATTTTTCCTTCAATTTTTTGTAAATAATACCATGGCGTTTTTCAATCTTCTTGGCACTCTTTAATTCAGTCATGTTATCATTTTGATCCTGAAGAATTTCAGGTTTTTCAATTAAATTTACAACTTGGACTGCATCCTCATTTTCAAAATATTCTAATACTGGTGATCGAGAGAGTAAATCAGCCATTATATTTTCCTTTCCTTTCTTATAAATAATTTTAAAGTTGAATTGAAACAAATAGTGCACTAAATCGCCCAATATTTCATCTGTTCTACTTTTCGTTTTTAGATTCTCAAGAGGTTTGTGGTCACTACAAACAAAAAATTCACGACCAATCAAATAATATTGCCAGTATTTTATTGCGTCTTTGATAGCTTTGCATTCAAGATGGATGATGTCCATTTTCTTTTTTTTTCTGATAATTTTCTTGAGAAGTATGCAACAGGATGTAACAAACCATCAGGATGTAGTTGTTTCAAAGTAGCTCCCATTCCTTTATAACTGGCATCAGTTTCAATATAAGTGTCTTTGGCTTTATCGTAAATGGCTAAGATTGGCTGAGAACATAAATATTCTTTTATCAAGTTGAAAGAATCTTCACAATCTTGGGACCAATGAAACTTAACATTTTTTTTCAAGAGCTTATGCAGTGGTTCAAATTTTTGAGCACTATTTTCGATATATTAAAGGTAGAAGTTAATAGATCCTAACACACTTCTAACTCCTGTTTTATCTGTTGGTCTCTTAAGATTCTTGATGGCGATTAAATTTTCTTGAGCTGGTGCTACTTTATTTTCTTGAATAAAATGTCCAAGATATTTAATGGTTTTAGCAGCGAACTTACATTTTTCTAATTTTAATTTAAAACCTTCTTCTGTGATAATTTGTAGAGTCTCTTCAATATGAATAATGTGTTCTTCCCAAGAGAGTGAAAATATAAGTATGTCATCAATATAGTTAATGCAAAAATTGTCCAGATTATTTCTTCTTATGATATTGGATAAAATACGTTGAAAAATTGCTGGAGAATTTTTAAGACCAAAGGGTAAAACCTTAAACATGAATTTTCCATACTTAGTTATAAAAGAAGTCTTTTCTCTATCTTCCTTTTTTAATAATATACACCAAAATGCAGAATTTATATCAAGTACAGTGAAATATTTGCAATTTGGTACCTTATCTATGACATCATTAATAGTAGGGAATGGATAGCATTCAGGAACTACTAATTTATTTAATCGTCTGAAATCAATGCAAAGTCTTATCCGACGACCATCATCTTTTTTAAAAGCAAGAGTTACTGGCGAGGCATGAGGGGATTCCGATTCTTCAATTAAATCAGCTTTTAATAACTTTTTGACTTGAGTCTTGATTTCCTCTTCATCAACTATGGAACATTTATATGGTCTTGCTGTTACATATTCATCTCTGGTTAATTTTATTTCTGCTTCTTTCGACTTCACTTTTCCTACATCATATTTATCTTTTGCAAACATATGTTTGTACTTGTTTATTAAATTTAAAATATTTTTTCTTCTATTTTCATCTTCAATGTGGTCTAAATTTTCACACATTGTCTTATTCATATTTTCATTAAAATTGACTTCTGAAATT